CCACTGTGAGCATCAAACAGGTCAAATAAAAAGAATATAATAGATGTTAAATATGTCTCTTTTAATATTGAGAGCATCAGCTATACAAAGATTGAGTGGCAGTATTCTTTCAATTTGAAGATCACAGCAGGTTTTCTCACCAAGAAAGGACTTTATCTTTTCTTAAGATAGAAAGGAAAGACATGTGCATGTGTGTTCATGTAATGTATCCCTCTTAAAATTTTGCCATGGACTTAAAGGAGAAACACATTAGATCTAAAATCTAAATGAAAAATACTAACACAACAGTTAATATAACAACCAAGCCTAGTAAATATAAGCATCATGTTTTAGTAAAGGAAATAAGGTAAGATCACTATTCCAAATTTGGTGTATATATATATATATATTAAATGTGATAGTAAAACAGTCCTATAACTTTTACACTTCAGATTGTAGATGTGGCTGGGGGGGGAATGATGAGTTGGTGCAAAGAAAGATTACGGAAGGTTCTGAATTCCATAGAACTCATCATCACTGAGAACGTGAAGGAGCTCTTAAAAGTAAATAAGGAGCGAAGAAGTGAGTACAAGGCAATCAAATTTTCAACATCTCACTAGCAAATAAAACTTTTAATCATAGCTAGGGATGGACGAATCTGTTAATTTCAGTTTTTTCACAGCTTATCATTTTCCCAATATTTGTCACAGTTTTGCATCAGTTTGCAAATTTCTTTCTTTTTTTAAAGTCCTAATGAAAATTCATCTGCACATTTCTTTCAATATTCACATTTTTGCATGCAATTTTGTCTAATTTTTACAAGCCATCTTCTCCAATGCATTGCATTTCGGTATGTTGCTTTCACTGTTATATGCAGTTTTATGCATACTTTCCTCTAATATATGCATGTTTGGGTGGATAAGTGGATTGCAAAATTTTGAGAGGTGCGAATTTTGAAGGCTAGAAGCATTTTGTTTTGTGAGAGATAAATTACATAAATTTGCATTAAAATGTGAACTGAACTGAACACACACCCCAAACCTAATCACACCTCAAAAGGTTGATTTTCCTGAATATTTCCTTTGTATTTCTACAGTCTGATACAAAGAAATGACCATTGTACTAGCTCTTATTCTGTACTGGATCAATTAGCATATATTATTTATGCCTTCTTCTGTTAGGGCACAAAATATGATGTGGCCCATAACTAGAAAAACCTGAGTTTGTGACATGCTGTAAACTTGAGACCTTTGTACCCTGGTTGTCTCTCGTGCATTCCCGTGAGCATTGGCCAAAGGAGCCCTGAGTGTGTTGTGACCTAAGATTTCTTTTTATCAAGTACTATGATTTTAGTCACTAAAAATGACAGGAATGAGATTGGTCTGAACCATAGATAGCTACCATTACAATTACTTATGTGTTTTCAGTCTGGTTTTAGTGAGCAATTCTACAGCTGAAGGGTGCACTCCTTTCAAAGGAATAAGATTCTTCTGTCATTGAATCATTTCTGTCTATTTCTGGAAGAAAAGATTAGGGAGCTATTTTTCCATTCCTAGTCAAAGAAAATCTATTTTTTTCACTCAACGAAAAAAACCTGTCTTCGAGAACAATGTAATATGAACATGTTGGCATTTCATTCTGTCTCCTTGAATGTCCTCTTTTTCTTTGTAAGAGGCTCAGGCATGCCCAAATTAGCTGATGATTTTCAATTGTGAAGTTGATCTGATAAGAATATGCAGCATGTGTGTGTGTGTTCATGATATGCAAGAATTATCAATAGCTATTGACACAACTTTCTCTGGAAATTTAAACATCCACACCATGCATTTAAAGTTCATGGCTTCCCTCAAAGAATCCTGGGAGATGTCATGGGTTAAGGCTGTTGGGAATTGTAGCACCGTGAGAGGCAAACTACCATTCTCTGGATTCTTTGGGGAAATCACCAAGACAATGGGATGAATTCAACATAGCACTAAGCTGATCATTCTGACAGCGTAAGTATTTCAGCTTGCCAGATGGAACTCTCCGCCTGCTGTTCTGTGGGTTCTACAGTCTGCCCTGAGCCAATATCTGGGGTCATGGAGGCCACATTAGGAAGGAGAGACCTGGCAAATGGAAGACCTGGTGCAGGGCTTGTTAGATATAACCCTCACCTTTCAAACTTAGCCCTATTGCTTCATAGGAATTATGACAAAAAGCATTCCAGTGCAGGAAAAACTTACAGAAGAAAAGGCCCTCCATTAACAAAATAAAATCTTACACATTATAAGTCTGTTCATAATTCCATCATCTGTTTTTGTCCTTCTGTCACAACGTGCTTGCCCTTTTCTTTTTCTCTTAGTAGACATCTACAATTAGAGTCAATTGGTTGGACAAATGTTGAACAGATCTTCACTAGTTATAAAAAAGCGTTCATTTCTGTTATCCTGTGTAACCATCCATATTAGTTTGAATGGGCTGGGATTTTATTCACATTTTAAATCAGGGCAGCGTTTTCTATTGCCCTGTAGTAAAACTCTGTATTAAAATCAGATAAATGACAAAAGAAATCACAACATAGTTTAAGAAATCCACATATTCAGTTATATAGCCTTATCTAAGAAGGAATTAATCCTTTTTTTCCTATGGAGCTGCTATCCCATAGGCTTTGGACATAATAGTAAAGCTGTTCTTCATTAAACTGCTTTCTTTCTCCAGCTTCTCTGTGACTACTCTCCCCTCCCCCCCCAGCAACTTACTCATTCAGCATTGCATAATGTGAATGCCCAAGAGTTGAACAGGTGGGATATTTTGCCGGTGGGCATTGAGTCACAATGCTACCGGCAGATTGCGACACCTGCAAGCAGTTAACCTGTTCACTGTGCATCTCTTGGCTGAAATGAGTTGTCTTGTCTTGTCTTGCCCTTCCAAGGATAGTCTTGATTCTGGTGCTGCGTTAACAGGCATTAGCAAATTTATGTTCTTTTACTGGACCTGGGATTTGTCCCAGTGTTGGAAAAGCAGCAGCCATCAATCAAATAGCCTCAATACTCCAAAGTCATCACACTGAATTGTCTGTCGTGCAAGCTCCATTGTGCAGCCCTGGGGAAATGGGCTCAGTAACGGTCCCCAATGCAGCTTCCGAAGTGCTAATTGAGACAGCCTAATAGCCAAATCACTACAGGAACTGGGAATTGTTCTAAAACTAAGGAGTTTGATATAACAAATGGGACAGTGTGTTGTACCTCTGCTGAGATTTGGATGTTCTGTACCCTATGGGAGATAAGTAGTGTTATTTGGCCATCTTGGCAAGAAAATATTGTAAACAACAATTGATCCTACCGAGCACTGAACACACAGGAGGCATGGTGTCTTCATACTTGGACATAACATCAGAATAACAACACAAGTGCATTATGTCTCACTCCAGATGAGCCCTCTGTATGAGGCGACTTTGTCTGGTGGTGTAGGAGCTAGTGATATCTCATGGGATGACAATTGTCCCACAAGATTCCATGAGCGGGAGGAAAGGTCAAGGTCTAAAAAGGCCTTGCTCACAAGTGGTTGGAGCCATCTTGCCCCACAAGTTTTCTCTCTCCCACACACCTTGGTCTTAGACGCACCCCCTGGAGGTACTTGGGACACTGGTTGACAGGTCCAGAAAGGAATTATTTCCTCCCACATACCTTGATTACGGTTTTTTCCTGCCTTTCCCTCAGTGAAATGCTTCATTATGTTAGGTGATTGCAAGAACTTTGTTACTACATTGAGGATGAAACAAGTTTGTTTTCTCCTGCTCTGGAAGCTGGGACCAATGGATTCAAGTTATAAGGAAGGGGATTCTGACTAAACATCAGGAAGAACCTTCTGACAGTAAGAGCTGTTGGACAGTGGAACGGACTCCTACAAGAGATGGTGGAGTCTCCTTCCTTGGATGTTTTTAAGCAGATGCTGGATGGCCATCTGTCATGTACAATCTAGTTAAGATTTCTGCATTGCAACTTACGACTCTACGATTCCATGATAAAACAGCATTAGTCAGGATTGGCATAGTAAAGCAGGGCATAGGGGGCCTGGGCAGAGAATTGGCTCAAGGCATGTCCTAAGCCCTGGCAGATGCTCTGCCTGGCTAGAATCTCTCCATTGGTTGCCTAGTGGGCCCCTGAACACTTGGTTTCCACCACACCAGTGTTCAATGCTGGTCAACTACCAAGCTGGCAGGTTGAGTTCTTACCTATCCTGACTGCAATGCCATTCCATGGGCAAGGAATGACTGGGAAGAGGAATTAATCCTTGCCCCGCTGCCATGCCAAGCCTACTTACCTGTTGTTTCATCAATAAAGTTGTACCCCAAATTCACCCAACACTGGTGTTATTCCCACTGTACTCACAAGCCACAAATATGTGACTGTCTGGGCAATGCATTTTATTGTTCACCCCCATGTCAAGATCCAATCTGAAAAACATGACATCATTGGCTATAAAATGTTATGCAAATCTAAAGGCAGCTCAAAGGAATACAAACCAAATATCATTGGTCTGCCTTCACTTTCTCACAGACTACATAGAATGAACAGGCAACTTAGTTTTCCTGGTGTGTTTCCACAATTGTAAAAAAAAATGTTACATTTAGTTTTCCTCCAATCTTATGTGCAAGTAGCCTTCTGATCAGCACAGTTCTCAGGTCACCTTTTGGCATCGTGCCCGCACTTGTCAGCAGTACATTCTTTTCTGCATGACTTTGATAAAACTGGGGCAGTCTCTTCCTTCTTTCACCAGGGATTAAGGGTCACACAGCAATGTGGATAGTGTCCTGGTTTGACATGAAGAATGTCTTTGGAACATAAGATTTCCTCTACATTTTCAAGGAGGAAGATTCTATTGGTATGCCCTAACTTTCAGTTGCATTTATACTTTGGAATATTACAGAAAGAGAAAGATCTTTCCAGCATGCCTCCAATGAACCATTGCTACAATTGAGAGTGGAGTAAGGTGAGAAAAAGCTGGACACCAATATTTGGAATTAGACAGGCCACACAACTTTACTGAGTGAGCATGGCATAGCTCCGCCCATGTGGAGAGGATAGCTCTAATAATCCCTCCCAAAGAGTGGTCCAGCAAGACTGGCATAGATAGATAGCAGGTCACAGCACCTCTCTGCTACCACTAAGCTCAAGCCTGAGCTGACCTATGCCTGATGGGTGATAACCCAATCCACTTGTGGGGAGAGGCAGGTATGAGACAGATTCTGAAGCTGCTGGTTGCACCCTTGAGCTGTTCCAGCCTCGTGAGCTCCTTCCTGCTATCCATAGCTGTCAACATTTCCCTTTTTTAAAGGGAAATTCCCTTATTCCGAATAGGATACCTCACAAGAAAAGGGAAACATTGACAGCTATGCTCCTATCTTCCATTTCATCTGAATCTGCTAGGGACCTTGCTGCCCTCAGCATGTTAGCGGCATTGTCCACATCCAGAGTTATGGTCCTTCTGCTAAAGTTGTGACGAACAAGAAAGAGAGATTCCAGCCAAAGCCAAACTGAACCAGTTAAACCAAAACCCAGGGCCAAACTAGACATTTGCTACCAGATACATGACATGTAGCTACATGTCTAGTTCTTCCTCACAGGCATAGGTGAGCGAGCCTTATCAAAAAGGCAGCACACAGTGGGTGGGGGATAGGAAGCTTATCTCTTATCTCCCCAACACAGTCAGAATGAAAAGCAACTGTTGAAAAAAAGTTCTCTCAGGGTTAAAAGTGTCCAACCTGTATTATTCTTACAAAAACTCTGTATCATTATCCTTCCATTGTTTTGCTCCTAAATTATTATTCCCCATATTTATTGGTTGTGTGTGTGTGTGTGTGTGTGTGTGTGTGTGTGTTAAGGCTGAAAAATAATAGCTTGCCTAAGGCCAGTTAGGGAGTTCATGGTAATAGAAAATATTCAAACTGGGACCTTCCTGATTAATAGCACATACTCTTCACCACTATACTGTTCTATAGCAGCTTGTTTTTGTTGTCGTTTCCGCAGCTGCTGCCAATAGCCTTTTAGGTTGATAAGGAGCAACTGCTACAATTTAAACTAGCCACATTTTATAGCGGGGCTGCTGATATGTTTACTTCATTTTTAAGCAATTGACTCAATCATTCTGACTTTATTTTCCTGGGATTTTTTTTAAAAAACAAATGTATCTTATTTTATAGCCATCTATCTGGCCTCTAATTGAGATTTTAATCATGTTCTAACCATGTTTTATGGTCCATCTGTGACATTTATGTGGTTGGCATATTATGGCCTAGATTATCATGTGTCATAAACCCCAAGCTACTTACCTGTAAAATGCTGACATCTATCCATCGCATGCAACATTAATTGTATCACATTTCTAAAGCAAGGCAAAAAGCGGAAATGGAATTAATCTGTGCTTTATTCTGCATGTGGTAGTTCAAGCCTCCAAATCTACTTCTATAGTTCTCTGTGTGGGTGTCAAATTGCAATTTTTGCCACTTTCATTTGGCAAAAGGGTTCTAAGGTTTCCGGGGGAGGCTCAAGTCTCATCCAGGAAAAGCTCAAGTGAGTCAAGGAGAAAAGAGGGGAATCATGTATCTTTTATCCTGGCGTAGTCACTTTTTAGTGAAGGATCAAGAAATGCAGTGCGGACTGCTGAGTAGTGAATATTGAGTAGCTAATTTTTCCTGTGGTGTCTTAAGTGGAAGCAATTTGGGTACACAAAATGAAGCTTAACAGACTACATCTGCCTATGTGGTTTCTTTTTCTCCTCTCATCACTTCATTTTAAAAGAAAGCTTTCCCTTGACGTTTGCTTTAAATACATTTCCAAATACCACCATGACCGCTGCTACTGCTAACATTTGCATAGCGCCAGAGGTGGCAACTTTCGCCAAAGATTGAGGGGGTTGGGTAGCACGTGTGATATCATGCGCACGATGACTGATGTTGCGTGCCGTTTCAGGAAGAGCCAGGGAACAGAGTTGCAAGCAGTGGCCGGCAGCTCCTCTTCTCTTGCACTTGGTAGCTTTTCATGGTGGTAGGAGGTGGAGCCAACCACTGAAACTGCGCTTGGCTCTGTGCTTGGTCTCCTCTGCCCCCGATGGCAGGGAACATTTAGGGGCCAAAAACGCTTGGCTTCCTAGAATGGGTGCCCCTGCATAGCACTTTCACATGGTTAGAGTACTTCGCAACAGTGGTAACTTGGTATTATTTTCCTTATATCACGCATGGCACTACTGAGGCTGAGAAAGTATATAGGACCATCCTATTGTATATATTGCATGACAGAAGAAAAACTTCATCACCTCTCCTTTGGAACTTGTACACATTGAATTCTTATTATTCAACTACTCCCTTTCGACAGTAATCTGGACATGTTACTACTCATGTTTCATGGAAATCATTTCCCTTGCTTTGAGAATGATTTTCTGGCACATATTTTTCAATCTCCTTGTTTTGTGCACTAAAACATCCGAAGGCATATTGTTGTTTCTTTTTTCTGTAGAAGGAACTTGGGATAATCTTGGCAAGACACATTCCGTTGCTTGCTAAGCCCAGTCTAATGCACTAGGATCAGGGCTTAAATGGGGAAATATCTTGCAAGGAAAATCAATCTGCTAACTGAAGCCATTTATCTCTGTCATTGGGCAGGTTACCATTTCTTGTGAGGTAAAAGACTCTGAGCACTGGCAAAAGGCTAAATGCACCAAAGTCAAGTCAGCAGCAAATTTTCCTTTGGCCTCCTGGGAGTGTTAGTGTGCCTCCATGACTAGTTTAAAAGAAGAGGTACAACTTGAATATCAAACTTCACTTCTCTGGCTTCATTTATATCAAAACTTATGGCAGCTAGAATGGAGCTGGGGGACAAATCATCATCATCGAGGAAAACTGGAATGGTCATCTAAAGCACGGGAGATTATATATCTGAACAGATTGACAATATGACCATATACAGGGAACTGACTCATAAGGCTTTTGCCTTCTTGGGATTCAGATTATTGGTCCACATCTAGCCCACCACTAAGTCTAGGCACTGATCTCAGCCTTGCACACTTGCACCTGACACAGATGTAACAGCATTGTCAGCATGGTTATGACATCATGTTTCAGATTTCCTAATGATTACACCCAGCAGCTTCACATAGATGTTAAATAGCACTAGTGATAAGATGGCACCCTGTAGCAAAACTGTCAAGAGACTGAGTATACTCACCCAATGCCATGCTCTGAGATTGTCAGTCATTGTTAGTGTTTGGTGGCTGTTTCTGAAATGAAGGGTTTGGTGTTTTCTCCTAGGAGACTCTTGTTTGACATTTACCTGTATATAGTACCTATGCTTTTATGAGAAGGAATAGGACTACAAACAGTGAGTTTGCATTAAAGGTAAGCTAATGAGCCATTTTATTGTCTCATTTTGTTTTATGAAAACAGCAGGCTAGCTAACAATATTGGAAGGAAATCTCTTTACTGGATGCATCAACATGCACTATAATTTCCTAATCTTATATGCACACTCCATAAAGACTTAAGTTCTGTCCACAGATAGATGTTGTGAGAAGATACACTTACCCATCCCATCTGATGGGGTTACCCTAGGACCTTATTGTGAAGGGTGGGGAAGAAATGGTAATATTAATAGCATTGAAAGAGCTGTCAGGAACTGATCATATGCATATGACTCCACCATTTCTTCAGCTACAGTGCTGATCATCAGCTGCAGGCATGAAAGACTAGGGGTTATATCCAATAAAGTTATTCCATTCGTGCAAGGACTTTTGCCTATGTAAGTTTGATCCTTATTCCTGTAACACACATCTTTTGTCACTATACCGCATGCCTTACTTCCTCTGAAATTTTTCATTAAAACTATTTAAATTGTGTTTGGCATTAAGAAACACTTATTAGAACAATTCCATACAAGATTGTGCCCGTGTTTTTTTTTTTTTATTCTCATAAAATCCATACAAAAGAAATATCATGTTTTAATATCTGCCTGAGGTCATTTTTTCCCCACCATATGTCCCTTGGCTGCCATCCAAGCCTGCCTCATTAAATCACCTAACCCACTGAGTAGAATTTCTATTGATAGTTACCCTGTCATTATAATAAGCTTGACACTAATTGTACACTGAATGGCATATCAAATATTATCTTCAAATGAATCACTAAGGTTGTCTGTTGCCTAGCTGCTATTTATTTGAGGAAGGATTGCATATTCTTTACAATAAAAAAACCCCCAGAATCTGTCTTCTCCCTGTATTCTTGCATATAAACATTCAATGATATACTTATTTTGGATGACAATTTTGCCATGCAAACTTATATTGGTTCATAACAGTTTAACTTCTCATGAACCTTTGGAACTGAAGTTTGGTCAGGGGGCAAAGCATTCTCTGCTAGAGGTCCCTTCCTAACTGCTCCCTTCCACAGGGAAAGAGAATGACTATGATGCCAGTTTATGGCTGTGCACACATTACTGGCTTAAAACTAGGACATAAAGGTAAAGGTAAAGAGACCCCTGACCATTAGGTCCAGTCGCGAACGACTCTGGGGTTGTGGCGCTCATCTCGCTTTATTGGCCGAGGGAGCCGGCATACAGCTTCCAGGTCATGTGGCCAGCATGACTAAGCCGCTTCTGGCGAACCAGAGCAGCGCACGGAAACTAGGACATACCTTTTCTCAATTCAGATTGAAGCATGTTTGGGAGAAAACATCATTTCCTAAGGAACTACAGGATATATATTGTTGTGGCTTACATGTTGTATACACCACTTCCCAAACCAGCGGTCAAGCACATTGGATGAAGAGTAGGCAGGAGCTATAGATATCTATCAAACTGAAAGGATTAGCAAAACTACCTCCTTCTTCAAAAGTGCTCCAGTATACAGTGGTACCTCAGGTTAAGAACTTAATTCGTTCTGGAGGTCTGTTATTAACCTGAAACTGTTATTAACCTGAAGCACCACTTTAGCTAATGGGGCCTCCTGCTGCCGCTGCGCCGCTGCTGCACGATTTCTGTTCTTATCCTGAAGCAAAGTTCTTAACCCGAGGTAATATTTCTGGGTTAGCGGAGTCTGTAACCTGAAGCGTATGTAACCTGAGGTACCACTGTATTGTGAATTTTCTGCATGTGGGTTTGGTGGTGTACTCGTAGAGGAGACAGGGATATTTTGAAGCTGTGCATCTCCCCATTCATGCTCATGCATCCAGATCTAAAAATGTGGAGGGGGAAAGGGGGAGAGAACAGCAAGGCTATTCTCACCATTTCCATGAATCTATCTTGTGCAGATGGGATATTGTGCTATTGTCATCAAAAAGTCAAAAATGCACTTGAGTGATGTTTTGGCTGATTGTGTGGGAAAGCCCTCATTAATCTCAAAGGATTTAAAGCTTTCATCACTTTTATTTGGTTTCAGTCAGCACTATCCTAGGTCAGAATGCTACATGAAGAATTACTCAAAAGGTCGTTTATTTTAATCGGAAGACACCCATACCAGCTGCAATACAAAGCAAACTCTGCCTCCGAGAATCTTGCTGTGTAAATACTAGCAGCTCCACCACAATTAATGCAATAACAACATACTGCATTACCCATAATTACATCCATATTAGGAAAATAAACAGCTAAAGTAGTCAGTTACTTGCCCAAACTGTTTCCTGAGGGATATTTATTTTGACAAATATTCAAGTAAAAATAAAAACCAATCTGGCTTGCTATAAAGCTTTTGGGTTTTTTTTTTCCTTTTAGGAAACGTGCTTCAAAAAATGAAAATAACAAAGCATAATCTTAAAGCCACTGCAAGATGTGTGTGTGTGTGTGTGTGTGTGTGTGCATGCAACACACATGCATGCACAGAGACACTCTTACATGCTAAAGCAGGGGTCACCAATGCAGCACCTGTGTGTCCCACTGTGCCCTCCAGTACCTCTCATGGTGCTCTCAGAAGGTCTCAGTAAACAAACCCTCAATAATTCACGCTGCTGAGAGGCTGTTTGCTCTTCCTGCTCCATTCCTGTTTGCACTGGCTCAGCCTCCCCTACATTAAACACACCCCTGTAAACATGCTCACATTTCATTGGATGCCAGGACTGGACCCCAAGCCTCCTATCCATTCTGAACAGAGAAGAGGTATAAAGTAGAGGTGCTTCTCTCTGTGAGCTGCCCCTATGGAGCAGCTGCAGAGACTGAAGGTCCCCACCTTCCCACAGCTGCCTCAGTCCATGACAGTCACAAAGTCTGCCATGAGCATGCAAACCATGGACAGCCCCATGTGGTGGTGCGACTTCTCAGAAATGGGGTGGCTGCATGAATCCTACTTAGAATCCAGGCAACATTGTCTTATATTCCATTTTACAAAAAAAAAAAAAAAAAGTCCACTGAAAATTAGCCTGAGCTCACCATGTTCCCAATATGTTTGGTTGAAGTGGTTCTTCGCAACTCTCTGTGACTGCCTCAGGGTGAATGAAATGGAAGAGACAGTGTGGCATATGAGTCAGAGTTCTGGAACACAGTTCAGCCTGGGCACTTTCATGTCCTTGTTCATCCAGCACTGCAAAGCTGTCTCTTTTTATGAAATACCGGCTAATGTACAACAGCAAATGACTCTAGCTGCCAAGGAAGCAAACATGACTAGACAGAGGCATATGTCTGCTAACAAACTGCGTTGGCTGATCGCGTCCTGGAATTGCTGCTGTCTCCCTTTTCAGAGCTTTTTGTCATGAAATTTTAAAAATGTTGGAGCACACAGCCCACATTGATTTATGGGAGAAATGTTGCAAGGCTCAAAAGCTTGGAAGATTTACTGCTCAAGTAACTTCTACCCTTACTATTTAAATTTTATTTAGTGCCCACGGTGTGCTAGGCAGGGTGATAACAGAAACATAAGTGACATGCTCTTTTGCTCAGAAAGGTTATGATGGGCATTAGATGCTTGGAAAATGGGAATGGAAGCGAGGCATGAGTGCGAGTTAAGGGCCCGAGAAATGAGTGATGAAAGGGAGAGGAAACACATGCATGCCGAAAGTGCTGAATTTTTATAATGGTTTATGAGCTTTAAGTATTGCTCTTGGTTGTTTCTATTTTTATTTTTGGCTATGTTTTCCTCCTGTGTTGGAGGCAGCATGCCTCTGAATACCATTTGCTGGGAGTCACATGTGGGGAAAGTGCTTTTGCACCCAGGTCCTGCTTGGGGGTTCCCATAGCTAGACACCTGGTTGGCCACTGTGAGAAGAGAACATTAGATGTGATGGGCCCCTGACCTGACCCAGCAGGGCCTTTCTTATGTTCCTAAATTGTGCCACTTTAGCAAAATTGTTTATGGTTCACACTTCTTGTGAGGACTCTATTGTGAAATGTGACCTAAATACATTATGGTTAACTAAATAGGTAAGTTAATGGCATTCACATTCCACTGGAAACGTATGTCCCGAAGATTTGTCCTTTCCACGGTGATCTAACCTTTATCTCAGTCCATCCCATTTTTGTCACTTGTGAAATTATTACTTGGAAATATAGGCATATGCATGACTACACAACCCTGAACTGACTGGTGGGCAGCTTTCTAAGTGTCAATGCTTTGAATAGCTCAAAGGATGACGAGTACAGCTTGGACAAAAAGTAAGGGAAGAGGCATCAAAATTTAGGTGAGAGGTTTGCATAGAAAGTAGCACATCAAAGGCCTGGAAACGATGCCTTATGAGGAACGGCTAAGGGAGCTGGGCATGTTTAGCCTGGAGAAGAGGAGGTTAAGGGGTGATATGATAGCCATGTTCAAATATATAAAAGGATGTCACATAGAGGAGGGAGAAAGGTTGTTTTCTGCTGCTCCAGAGAAGCGGACACGGAGCAATGGATCCAAACTACAAGAAAGAAGATTCCACCTAAACATTCGGAAGAACTTCCTGACAGTAAGAGCTGTTCGACAGTGGAAGTTGCTGCCAAGGAGTGTGGTGGAGTCTCCTTCTTTGGAGGTCTTTAAGCAGAGGCTTGACAACCATATGTCAGGAGTGCTCTGATGGTGTTTCCTGCTTGGCAGGGGGTTGGACTCGATGGCCCTTGTGGTCTCTTCCAACTCTATGATTCTATGACATCTCAATTCAGCTGGGAAGCAGGTGTTTGAATGCCCACACTCAGATGACTTATTTTCTATTTCTGATAATGAAGTCCACCCTCACTAAAACATGCCTCATTATATCTATCAGTTCCTAAATCTAAATGCAGCCGTGTCATCCTTCTCACTTTCTGTGTCATATTCCTCCCCCTCTGGCAAGCACTCTGAGCATCTCTTCACTGGGATGACATACAGGAGGAGAAAGAGAGGTTAGAGAATCTGCTTCACAAACATTTTAGTTTTCATCTAAATCAGCCTCCTTCCACTCACCACCTCCCATCCCTTTCTGCAGATCTTAATGTATAGATGGGTGAACTCAATGGAATAGTGTCATATTCTCCCCATTATTAGTTTTTTTTACCATACATACATACAACTATATGTTAGTGTATGTGGGTTTGTGCATACACTAGGACAAGAAAGGGTGAATTTAGGTGTGCTTGCCCCATACCTGCTGCTCTTTAACTGTGAGTCAGCAAGAGTGAGTCAGAGAGTGACTCAGGGCAGTGTTATTGGGTTGTTGTTTTTATTTTGATTATATATATTGTGGTTTTATATTTTGATTTTGTTCTGTGAACTGCCCTGAGACCCCTGGGTATAGGGCGGTATATAAATTCAATAAAAATAAATAAATAAATAAATAAATAAAGTTTGTAGCAAGCTTACTCTCAGCCCCTACCTAATCTATGTTGGAACGCTGCAAGGAGGACATGTTGCTGAGAAGACCTTATACAGTGGTACCTCAGGTTAAGAACTTAATTCGTTCTGGAGGTCCGTTCTTAACCTGAGGTACCACTTTAGCTAATGGGGCCTCCCGCTGCCACTGTGCTGCCATCGTGCGATTTCTGTTCTCATCCTGAAGCAAAGTTCTTAACCCAAGGTACTATTTCTGGGTTAGCGGAATCTGTAACCTGAAGCGTCTGTAACCCGAGGTACCACTGTATTACTTTTACTGTCTGTTGGGGCAGACTGAGGCCAGATTCCTTTATGCTACAACTGTGTGTAACTGCTAAGCTGAGGAACTGCATTATACTTCAGACTACCTCTCAGTAAAGGAACTGACCCTACCCAAACTACCTGGTTTTTTTCTTTGACAATCCCATTCTGGGTTTTCCATTTGCACAATCTGCTGGTGTGTTGCATGGGTACGCTGCACATGCCCCAACAAAATACTTTATTTGCATAAAAACATAAGAAGAACTTGCTGGATCAGGCCAATGGCCCAACTAGTCCAGAATCCTATTCTCATAATGGGCAGTCACATGCTTATGGAAAGCTGGGAAGTAGACTTTGAGCACCTCAGCCCTGTCCCTGCCTGTGATTCCCAGCAACTGGGATTCAGAGGTAGACTGCCTTCCCTTCCCATAGACCTCCAAGATCTCAAGCAGTTGTTGCAGTGCTGTATTCCAGAAATTATTAACGCAGCACACATACTGAGTGGTGGTGATGAGGATGGGAAGGGAAGGACTCTCACTGTTGTTGTAGTACCTAATTTCATAAACAGTTATCAGTAGAAGAGCAGTGGAATTTAAGGGATGTTATAAAAACTAGGCCTGAACATAGGCTTCAAGGAGGAAGAGTTGGGAGGGCATGTGAGGTCACCATCTAATAACTTTATGAAGATTAATATTTTTAAAAATGAGAATCCAGCTAAGGTATATGGACCCTTCTGATATTACTGTAGAAGACTGGTTTAATTATATTGACTGTCTGGGGCAGAATTTTGTAGTGCTCAGCCAAAGCCTGTTTTCCAATTTCACAGTATTCTTCACAGGAGAAGTGCCTTTTTCTGTTTTATAGCCTTATTCATAGGGAGTTTTAGAATTCCTTTATACTGTTGGTGGGTGTGACTTGAGTTTGCCTTGTTATTGCAAGGCATCCCTTGCTGGTGCTTGCTTTCCTTTCCAGTAAACATTTCTCCAGCACTCTACAACTGCCCAGCTCCCTGAGCAGTCTGGTCTCAAAAGGCCTCATAGGAGAAGTTAACTTCATGGCATTTTCCCTCATGACATGGGTTTTTTAATTGAAGTTTGGGAAGGAACTGAAATCTGGTGGCTTCAGAGCACCTGAGGTCAGTGTGCTCAATGGTTTTGTTTTCAGTAAAGTCCTTTTTTAATATTTCTGAACAGATTACTTTAAAGATAAAAATACATTTATTTGAAAACAACAATAAACAGACATGCGGTAAGTGATATCCCTCCTTTCTGGATTGCCGGAAAGTCTAGCCCAAGGACATTATGGGATTTTCAGGAAATGTGGCATCCTATGAAGTCTATGGAATGCAGACCATTGGAGAAATGCCTTGTAGACTCACAAACACCCCTTGGCCACCTGGAATGTACGTGAAGCACAACAAAAACATCACATCTCACCCATGAGAATTTCACTGAATATTTCTCTCCCCCTTCATAATTTTGGAATGACATTTATTTTCGCATTCATTGTTGTGGGATGGTTGTAAAAATGCAAGAGAAATTTTTGGCACAGCGCTGGCATTTCCTACTCCATGGTACTCCACATGAAAACAAAGTCCCTGCACTCCTATATATGTGGAGAATCGCAGTGCACTTGCTTTGTGGTTTGACACACCCAGAGAAGCCATGCTCTGAATCCCTTGCTGAAATTGTGACTTTGCTGCAGGAACAGTTTA